TGGCTGCAATGGCCAGAGCTGAGCCAATCCGAAGCCAGGAACCAGGAGCTTCTTCCTACTTACCCACATGTGTGCAGGATCCCATGGCTTAGGGCCATTCTCTACTAAAACATTTTTAGTACTTTCTGATGAAGACTTATATGCGAAGTACACATGCATATTCGTATACACATACACGCTCATGCAGCTGATGCTGTGACTCAACAGGCTAATCCTCAGCCTGCTAGCGCCAGCATCTCATATGGGTTCTGGTTTGTGTCCTACTGTCCACTTCCAATCTGGCTCTCTGCTTGTGGCCTGGAAAAGCAGCAGAGAATGGCCCTAAGCCACGGGACCCTGCACACATGTGGGAAAGTAGGAAGAAGTTCCTGGTTCCTGGCTTCGGATTGGCTCAGCTCTGGCCGTTGCAGCCATTTGGAAAGTGAGCCAGCAGACAGAAGATATTCCTTTCTCTGTCTCTTCTTCTCTCTATAAATTTGCCTTGTGAAAATGGCCATAGATTCAGACTGACAACAGTGGACAAGAATATGAGGCAACTGGAATTCTCCCACTTTGCTGCGTAAAATGCTACAGTAACTTTGGCCAACTGGCCATCTCTTGTAAGTTCAACATACACCTACCAGTCCTAGGCAGTTATCCAAGAAGAATGAGAACATGCCCACAAAGAGAAATGTACATGACACAGCCGGGTAAGCTGCTACCTGTGATGCTAGCATCCCCTAAGAACGCAGGTTGGAGTCCTGGCTCCTCCGCTCTGACCCAGCTCCCTGCCAATACACCTAGGAAAGCAGCAGAGGGTACTCAACTACTTGAGTCCTTGCTCCCATGTGGGAGACCTGGCTGTGGCCTGGCCCAGCCCTGGCTGCTGTGGCCACGTAGAATACAAACTAGTGGATGCAAGATCTTTCTTTCCATCTTCCTGTAGCTAACAAGTAAATAAATAAATTTCTAAAACAGAGAGGGAAATGCACATAAAATGTTTACATAAGCTTTCTGTCAAAGAGCCTAAAATGGGAAATACCTGAATGTTTGTCAAATTTGAATAAATCACCAGTCTATGATACATTTACACTCTGCAATACTACTTAGAAAGTGGAATGAGCTGCGTGGACGAATCTCAGAAATGTTACCTTGAACAAAAGGATCCAGGTATAGAAAGTCAAAGATGGGAGAGTCTGTTTCCATGAACTTTTAAGGCATCTAGATCAGTGCAGAAGGCAGAGAAGTGAGGTGGGCTGGTGCTGGTGGGGGCGGTGACGGGGACTGGGACCCTCTGGGCTGATGGAAGAGTTGGCAGAGTGATATGTGCACCACAAAGGTGCTACCCAGGTGCATGGGTCTGCTGAAAACCCACCACACACTCATGCATGTTCCAGGATAGAACGAGGATTTGGGAACCATTAAAGGCTGTGGTTTGTTTTTTTCCACGCAACCCACAGTCACCACACCTCTGCAACCCGAGAGGACAGTCAGAAGCCAAGAAACCACCCAGGAAATCTAGTACAAAACGCTTGGTCTGTGCCAGGCACCTTTCTGGGCCCTCCATTTATTGTCTTACCCCAGCCATTAGAGCAGGTGACGGCACCCCCCTCAGCTCCACAAAGCCACACTTGCCCAAAGTTACACAGCAAGCAGCTGGCAATGCTAGGACTGGAACCCAGAACCCAGAACATTCATTAACGTTCTTGTCCTTTGAGAAGAAACTTGGCCAGAGCAGGCGCACCATGCTCAAAAAGCCATGCTGGAGCTGACTACAATTTTACAATTATATTCTTGGCCGTGACTTCTAGGTCCAAAGCTACTGGGATGACTCTAGAACTAACACGGGATGACAAGTCCCGTCCTGTGCCCGACTCATCAGGGCACGCTACTCCTCAAACATCCCGGACGTCAACATTTATAGAACCTCTCTCCCCCGAGTCAGCATGCAAGTGCAGGGTCAGAGTCAGTGAGGATTAGGGAACCTCAGAAAAAAAAAAAAAAAAAGACCCTGGAGACATGTGGCCTTGGCCAAGGACAGCACTGAGAGGATCCCAGAGGAAGGAAAAACGTGGCCTTCCCTTTGTCCCACAAGCTGTCTTCTGAGCAGCCACCTGAGAACACAGCACGAGGCTGTACCTGCTTCACTGATGAGGAGCAAATGTCATGCCTCCTGACCCCCACTGTGACCAAAGGTATCTGAGAGTGACTCCTCCTTGGCTCCCCCGAGTACATGCAGGCTGTTGGTGCAGCTGCAGGGCGAGGAACCCAGACAGGAAGCAGGATCTTGTTCTTCCCCTATGTCCCCTCCACCATGTGACAAGGGGACACAGTGAACCACTCTGCCCCTCAGTCACCGTGTGCAGGCAAGGCCTTCCTGTCCTCCTGGGCACAGGATTAGCTCTGGGGATCTCCAGGATGGGGAAGAGTGACATGTGTTATCATACCATTGTCTCTGTCTACAGAATCAGGCCATGGGCTCCCACACAGCAGAAACACTGCCACTCACAGCAGCTTGGGATGGGGGTAGTGACATACAACTTGCATGAAGCAGAGACCTGGGCCAGAGGTCCTTGGAGGCCATTTCCACTTCGGAAGCCTGTGATCCGTGGAAAACTGGCTCCATCCAAATCAACTGCGCCTGGACCCGGCACGATGGTTCAATGGCTAAATCCTCACCTTACAAGCACCATGATCCAATATAGGTGCTGGAGATCCCATACGGATGCTGGTGAGTCCCAGCTGCTCCACTTCCCATCCAGCTCCCTGTGTTGGCATAGGAAAGCAGTAGAGGATGACCTAAAGCCTTGGGACCCTGCACCCACATGGGAGATCTGGAAAAACTCCTGGCTCCTGGCTTCAGATTGACTCTGCTCCAGCTGTTGCAGCATTGGGGAGTCAATCAGCAGAGAGAAGATCTCTTTCTCTTTGTAAATCTGATCTACCTTGCCAATAATCGTAAGTAATAAATCTTTTAAAAATACATCACCCGCCCTTGCTGTCCTGCTATCCGGCTGTGACACAAGTCCCATCACAGTCACAAGAGAGTCCTCCCACGGGCATGGCCCAGAGACGTACATCTCACACATTCTCACTAAAGTATGCATGACTGACGGCAGGTGCCTTCTGGATGGCAAATTCAGATGGACACAGGGAAACCTGGCCAGCCTGAGTCCCCAGCCAGTCTTCTCAGCAACTCTATCCGAATGTGTCTGTTCTGAGACTAAACACTTGGCTGCACGAGGACCAAGTTCTGGATCATTTTGCTAAGCATGAGTCATGCTTCCCCTGACCGCTGCTCCTAGCCTGGGGTGTTGGTGACTTGAGTGGGCTGGGTCAGCTCCGCCTAGTGCGTGCACATCTGGGAGAGGCGGCCACAGTGCTCAGACCTCTCGGTCCTCACCCGGACCTGCTTGGCCAGCCCACCTTCTCATTCCCAAGGCCGTTCCTCTTCTCTTGGCCCCAGGTTCCCAGCCTGTGCACTGCCCAGAACTTGTCCTTTTGTCACATCAGCCAGGTGGCCCAGATCTCCCTGGAACAGACCCCTGTACCTCACCCCACTTCACTCCCATCTCCTTCCGGAAAGCCCAAACTAACAAGAGCTGTGCAAATGAGCTGGTGTCTGGAAGGAGGAACCTCCCTCTCCCCTCGCCCTTCCCCACTGGGGTGGTGGACATCCAACCCTGCACCTGGCTGGCTTCCTTGACCACTCTCATTACCACAAGGCTGCGCTGAGCACCTATGAGCGCTGGGCACACATGCCCCATCCTTGAATGAACCAAGCAACCGCCATCATTCTACAGCGTGAGCCTGTGGTTCAGAGGGGCGTGAACTGGCCCAGCCTGGGTACATGGCTGGACAGAGGAGGGGTGGGACCAAGCGGCCGGTGTCCCCTGGCGGCCTGTTAAAGGAGACTTGAGGGAGCCTGAAGTCCCAGGAGACACAGCATGAATGGGCAAGGTGCTCAAGATGACCCGCCAGGCCCAGCACCTGTGTACAGAATGGGAAAACTGAGGCCCACTCAGCCAGGAGTCGTCCCAGGACAGAGACCAACCAGCTGAGTCTGGAGCTATGCTCTTCGCTGATTTCCACCCACCCCACCCCTCCCAATCTCTCATACTTTGAGGTCAGAACACAGCCCACCGCCAGGCGCGTCTGAACCAGGGGTCATGACCTGGAAATTAGCCCACAGCCTTAGTTCCCGGCAGGCCTGCTGCAGCCAGGACACACCCCTGGGGCGCAGCACCCAGAGCGCAAAGGCCCGGGTTATCGCCAGACTGTAAACTTCACGCTGATTTGGAGCGAAGACCAGAAAAAGAGGCGAGGTCTAAAGTTAACAGGCGATCCCCGTCTGCAGTTGGCTTTGGGTGGAGGGTAGGAAGACGCCTCCTTAGCCGTGCTCGCTGCCACCGCGCCCACCCCTGCGCCCAGCCCCCCGAAATCCAGGGCGGGAGGAGAAGGCACGCAAACACTCGCCCTGAAGTTCTCGCCTCCGTTCCCCTCGCGGCTCCCGCCCTGTCCCTTCCTGGGGTTACCCCAAGCACCATCTCCCACGATCTGCCTCCGTGTCCCCTCTCCGGGTTATTCTTGGGCCGGTAGCCCTTCCATCGCCTGGGGCTCGGAGCATGACCCCTGGCCCTCGCCTCAGTTACGGCCCCACTGCCACCCAGTCCTCAGTCTGTGGAGGGCGGGGAAGGGATCAGGGTAAGGGTGACGGCTGACGGAGCCCAAATTGGGGCAGACACGGCACCCGAGGGAGAGTCGGGGCGTCCGAGCGCGTCAGACTCCTGGAGGGGCAGGGTGGGGTCCGGGCGCTCGGGCTGGGCTGACCCCCCGGCTGGGTGGCCCTCGGGCACTAAAAGGTGCGATCGGTCGCCCGGACGCCCGAGATCAAGCTCGCGGCGCCATCCCAGACCGCAAGCGAGGAGGCTGGCCGAGGGTCGGAGTTCGAGACCCCGCTTAGAGCCAGGGAGTGTGGGAGGCGCGCAGGGGGCCAGGCCGGGGGCGCGGAGGGCACTGACCCGAAGTAGGCGGCAGCGGCGGCGGTGGCGGGCAGCGCCAGCAGGCAGAGCGCGGCTAGGACCCGCGCGGCCGGGGGGCGCATGGTGCCGGTGGCGCGGCGCCCTCTAGCATGTCCTGCGCCTCTCGGCGCTCGCAGCGCGGCCACCAGCCGCCCGTGGGGCTTTAAACCCGCCGGGGGAGCGGGGCGGGGGCCGCGGACGGGCGAGAGCAGGGCGGGCCGCACCCCCCAAGCCCCCGGCCGCATTGGCCCCGCCGCCCGCGCCCCGCCCCGTCGCGGGTGGGGCCCCCGGCCCGAGCCCGCCCCCGGCTCCGCCCCAGCTCCCCCCGCCCAGTCTCCCCAGGTGAGCGCTCACCTGGCGCCGCGCCCGCCCCGGGCCTGGGGAGGCAGACGTGGGGTCCCAGCCAGCAGTGGATGGTGGCTCGCGCCGTCTCCCCTCTGCAACAGAGAGTGGGGTCCAGGGAGGGGGCGCGCCTGGAGCCTACGGAGAAACCGTGCGGTGCTGCGGCTCAGCGCGTGTGGATCTCACCCCAGCAGCCCCGGGACTCCTGGAGCGCAGGACGGTATCCAACGCACAGCTTCTCTCCGGGAAAAAAAGGCCCGCGGAACCGCTGAGGCTGCAGTGGAGAGAGGCTCTGCTGGGCAGCGGGAATCCATAGGGTCCCTTGGTTAGAGGAGAGGAGGAAAAGGGTGCCCCTATTTTAAAGGGAAGGTTAGAGGTGTGCGGCGAGGTGCCCAACCCCGGCGTCAGCGGGCGCTTCAAGAAAGGCGGGCGATCCTTCTTGGGCAGTAAAGTCCACTCTGAGCAGCGGTGCCGGCTGAGCCACGGCCGGGAAGCAGACCTGCTTTCCAAGGTATGCGGCCACAAAACCTCCATCACACAGGCCTGCGGCACTTAAAATGCACCTCCCTCCCCCTCCCACCGCTGGGGAGGGGGAGGGAGATGCAGTTACCAGCACAGCAGGGGCTGGTACGACACGTAGGAGCGAGACCTGCAACCTGCACCAAGTGATCCAAGCAATATTCAAAGTGTTTCTGAAAGTCTTGAACACAGGCGCCAAACGAAGCAGAACAAAACCTCACTTGCAACGACTGCTAAATCCTGCGTGTCAAACCTCCCCAGAGCCAGAGATGCGTGCAGAACCTGAGATGACAGCACCTGGGCTTGCCTGGCAGAAGCATTGGTGAGGTGGTAGGTAGTGTGCCCAGAAGCCTCAACACAGAAAGCGCCCAGCACGCTGTGTCCCCGTCCCACCCCCACTTCTGTCAAGCGGAGTGAGGGCAGCAGCCATGGACCAGCCAGCTCTCAGGGTTCTTTCTAGTTACAGAGGCTGCATGGCCCAGCACGGTGTGCAGAGACCCTGGCCGTCCTCCGCTGCCTTCCCAGGCACATTAGCAGGGCGCTGGATGGGAAGTGGAGCAGTACTCACCTGTTACACCACAGCACTGGCCCTTCATTGGTTGATTTCTGCATTGTAACTATTCCCGCTGCGGCTCATCACTGGAGTTAGGAGAACAGGTGCACCTGTTGGAAACAACTTCAGGTAAGACCTTGAATCAGGATGAATGGGGTTCAAGCAGGACCAGCGTGAGTCAGAGACAGAAAGAGCTGTGAACTGGGGACGAAGCTGCCATGTCCCAGCCACACCCCATGGGTGCCTGAGTGGGCAGGGGAGGCGGGAATGGGTCCAAACTGGGTTGCCCTACTTGTCTCTCCTGACCACAGGCTCATGGGCACACACCACTCCCAGGCACACACATGGGAGGGGGCGTGAGACATTCTCCCACGGTGGCACATTTTAGAATGCGCTTGCTGACATCTGATGGCTGAGAAGTTGGAGGAAGCACAGGAAAGCAGGTGAAGGTGTGGCCTGATGCTCCTTAGCCCCACCAGCCAATGGCGTGGACACACCCTGGAGCTCCGCCCTCCTGGTGCTGGAGCCATGCCAGGCCCCTGCACACTGAGGTGACCTGGAGACTTTGGAATTCTGCTTCTGCCTTCAGGGTCAACAGGGTCTCCCAAGGAGTGCCCAGGTGGCAGCTCCTGGCTGTGGATAATAGTACCGCAATCTAATAGTAGTTCCCGTGCACAGAGCTGTGTGTGTGTGTGTGTGCACATGGGCCAGGTCCAGCCTGTGGTCCTGCTGCAACTTCACACGGTAACCATAATCCTGGTCACATGGATGAGGATGCTGAGCCCAGGGGCATGTAAGCTGCTGGGACAAGAAAGCCCGCTGTCATGGCCCCGGTAAGAGCTGAGCCAGCCGCAGTGGCAACATCAGCGCTGGTGACATTGGCTGTGGTTGCCTCAAGGCTGTGCGGGCCTAGCCCCATTCACTTGGCTTGTGTTTTACGCATCCCTACAGCCCAGCAGGTGCTCCCCCGGGGCCCACCTTCAGGGGGCTCAAAGTCCAGAGGGGGAGAAGGCATTGGACACAACAGCTTGCTACCACACCAGTGGAGGGATAGGAGTGGCCTGGTGGCCTAGGGGTCTGGAGCTCTGCCTACTGCCTTCTCTGCCATGCCAGCTCCTTCCTCTAGGACAGCCCCAGGTTTATTGTTCCCTCACCCCTTTTATGGGGCTACACTGATAGAAAATACCCTCAGAAAGGGCTGCCTTTGTGACAGTGGGTTAAGCTACTGGGTATAGCGTCGGCATCCCACGTGGGAGGATCAGGTTGAGTTCCAGCTGCTCTGTTTCCATTCCAGGTCACTGGTAATGCACCTGGTAGGGCAGTAGGGAATGGCTTCCAGGCTTGGGCCCCTGACATCCAGCTGAGAGACCTGGTTGGAGTTCCTGGTTCCTGGCTGTTGTGACCATTTGGGGGAGTGAATCAGTGAATGAAAGATCTGTCTGTCTTTCCCTTTCTCTCTCCCTGTCACTCTGCCTCTCAAATCAATCTATATATTTAAAAAAAAAAAAAAAGTCATGGGAACAGGGATATGTGCTCCTGGAAGCCCCCTCCCTGCTCAGCCACATGCCTGCACATGTGTGCACGCACACGCACACCCCACCCCACTGCACAAGCCCAGACATTCAGTGATACGGACCTGCGCCCCCTCCCATGGATGTCTACATTCCTAGGCAGACCCCCAGCAGCTCTAGGATCCACATGTTCACACAGGTATGCATGCGAGGCATTCTTAGGCATTCACATGCAGCTACCTGTCTCCATGAACCAGCCCGAGGCAGCCACCGCCCAGGGCCCGTGGCTGCTCCTCCCCTGGTGCACGCGCACACGCACGCATGCACGCACCTACTTTGCTGGTCCTGAGCAGGAGCTGAGAGCCTCATCATGGCTGCATCCAGCATAGCTCCAAGCTATTATAGGGCTTCCCTCACCTGCTCCCGGTCAGGCCGCCCTGCCCAGAGACAGCACTCCCAGGAGCAGCCATGTGGGTCTAATACCAGATTCCCTGCCCGTCCAGACCCCAGCCAGGGCTGCACTGAGAAAGTCCTCCAAGCTCACAGCCAGACCACAGCCAGCAGACCTGCAGCGCTCCGGGCTCCCTCTTGGCTGCACTGGAAATGGACTTTGAACCCAAGAGGAAGTGGCGCAGTGATGGGCTGGAGGAGTGTGTGTGCTGGAGGCTGGCACAGGACCATGGAGGTTTGCCCAGCTGTGCGCCCCCTTGGCTACCCACTCTCTTCCCCCTCACTGGTGATGCTCTGCACCCCCCTGACCCTGTGAACTCCCCTGAGAGCAACCCCCCCAACCCTGTGTATCTGACTAGGGAGTACTGTGCATCAGATGTCACTGCCCTGTCACAGGTGCAGTCACGCAGGGTCAGGTGAGTGGGTGACTTCCTCAAGATCAAGGGAGGGAGGGAGAGAGCCTTGATGTTTCTGGAACACCAGAATGAGGCCTCCAACTCGCCAAGAACAACAAAGCAGGAGGCCAAAGAAAGACCTTGCAATGATAATGGGGTGCCTTGGTGGTCAGGAGTGCAGACAAAAAAAGTTAACCTCTTCATACTTTCCAGGCTTTCTAACACAAACAAGTTTAACATTTAAAAATCTTTTTCATTCAGGGCCTGTGTCATGGTGTAGTGGGTTAGGCCTCTGCTTGTGGTGTCAGCATCCCATACAGGCACCAGTTTAGTCCCAGCTGCTCTGGCTCTGCACTTTCCATCCAGCTCCCTGCTTGTGGTCTGGGAAAGCAGTCGAGGATGGCCCAAAGCCTTGGGACCCTACACCCACGTGGAAGACCTGGAGGAGGCTCCTGGTTCCTGGCTTCAGATCAGCTCAGTCCTGGCTGTTGCAGCCGCTTGGGGAGTAAATCAACGGACGGAAGGTCTTCCTCTCTGTATATCTGCCTTTCCAATAAAAATAAAATAAATCTTAGATAGAGAGAGAGAGAAAGAGAGAGAAAGAGAGAGAAAGAAAGAGAGAGAGAAAGAGAGAAAGAGAGAAAGAGAGAAAGAGAGAAAGAGAGAAAGAGAGAAAGAGAGAAAGAAAGAAAGAAAGAAAGAAAGAAAGAAAGAAAGAAAGAAAGAAAGAAAGAAAGAAAGAAAGAAAGAAAGAAAGAAAAAGCAAGCGAGCTTGGACTCCAACCCAGGCATCTGCAGAAATGTCTGAACTGCACAGCTGCCCTCACCTTTGACGTGTGTGGGAGCAGTGCCTTCAGAGGGGAGGCACACACCTCTAGTGGGGGAACTGTGGGTCTTGGCAGAAAGTTATCCCATTGGTGGAGCCTTCTGCAGGTACCCCCATCCTCCTAAGCTCATGTGCATCAAATTCCCCCAAGTCTGATGCTGATGGCTCAGAGCAGATGGCACCTTGACCTTGTTATGGGACAAAGGTGATCTTGGGGAAGCGATCAAGACTAGATGAGGTTGTTAGATTGAATTCTGGAGCCTTCCAAAGAGAGAAACCACAGAGTGACAGAGATGGACACAGGCACACATCACAAGCTCCAACCTCGCTGATCTAGCATCGGGGTTGTCAAGGCTCATGTCATACTCTCTGGTCTTCCTGCATCACAATAACCTCTTTGCTTGATAAGCAAGCCTATCTCAGCCATTTTGTTACCATAGCCACTACTGGGTAGTCCCTGGGAGCTCAACCCAGACTGGGCCGAGTTCACCCTGTCAGTGGAAATTCCAGTGTGAAGCTACTCACTTCCGTTCCTCCCTCCC